ATAAAATAAATACAAATAAGAATAAAATAAAATAAAATAATAAGAAATTATGAAAGTGAAGGAAACCCATGGTAACAACGTGATCTTGTATTACTATTTCGTGACTAATTAATGTATATTGCAGACTATAAATATTTACTAAAAGAAATTATTAAATTGTTACATAAACTAATATTAATTAAATTCTAAATATTATTTTAAGGGTTATAAATTATTGCAGGTGTTTTTAATATTATTTTATCATTATATTTTCATTCTGTAACAGCAGTCTGTTTAGAACAAAAAGTAAAGTTACGTCAACTAGTCTCATTAAATCAAACTCTTATCACACCCCTTTTCGTACTAACTCAACGTACTCTTGCATGTAATATTTCGTAACGCACACTATTCACCAGTAGGATCAAGCAGTCACTTGCCTACTCGTAATGAACAGATATATAAAATAAACTTTAACACAGTACACACAAGTATGATCAGAAGGTACGTGAGTAAGTGGAGTAAAAGTATTCTTTTATAGTTCACTACGTAAACTTTTGAATCTTAGCTTTGGACTTTATTTATTAACTTTATTTAAGAAATTACAAAATTAGTAATAGAAGTTATATATATTCCCAAAATTGATTTTGAATTTTTGAGGTATTTCTATTTTTTGAGATTTATGCAGAATCTATTCTATATATAGAAGTAAAAAAAGTATCCAGTTATATGTATCTTTAATTAAAGAATAAATCTGGGTGATCAAAAAATTTTGGATTTTAAGTAAAATAATTTTGTCTTCTATAAAAAACTATTTCAACTTTTTTTTTCAAAATTGCAATTTTGGAATCTCAAAATAATTTTGTGTAAAGTATAATAAAGGTATTACAAGCTGTTAACTGTTTCTCACCAATATTATCATTATCACAAAATAAAATATTAAAAATGGATCAAATTATTACAGAGTATATTTAAACTATTAAACTTATTGCAAAGATATAATAACAAAAATATATCACTGTTTTTACATATCTTATCTCTGCTACTAAATCAAAACAATATATTTTTATCTTTATTATTTAATTTTTATTACAAAATATGTATCAAAAGATTATTTATTATTTTATTACAAATTAGATGAAAGATTTTTGTATTTATTCGAAATATATCAAAAGAAAACTAAAAATTATAAAAATTTGCAAAAATGAGTTGATCCCTTTCACATCCTAAATTATCAGTTTATTTTATAAACTTTTGAACTTGTTTTTTTTCATCCTTTGTTGTTACATCTAAACATATCCTTTCTTATTTTTAAAGATGACACACAAAGATGAAGAACAATATATAAAGATGAAAAATCTGGTATCTAGATAATAACACACTTATCCTGATTACACTGTTATCTTACTGTTATCTCCTATAACATATGCAACATTTTGAAATCCTGTGTACATCCCAAGTAAAATTTGTATACCCTCAATACAAGATTATTACATATTTGAGAGATGAACTATATAATTTTTTATATAATTTATAATTACTATTTTTATTATTTTTTATTTTGATTTCATGTGGCTTTTTGGGAATTTGAATAATTGTATCTCTTTTTTGTTTTCTTGTTATGTTTTGATTTTCTTCCTATTCTAGAATCTTTTAGATTCAGTAATATCAGGTTTGTTTTAATTTAATTTGAATAAATATTTGTATATTGGTATTAATTGTTTTTGCTAATGTTTTAGACTTTATTATTAATTTTATTTTCTTTATTAATAATTTAGATGTGTATTTTTTTATTGTATCTAGAAAATACAATTTATCAGATTTGTTTTTCTTTAATTCTAACGGAGTTGTGCTTTATTAAACAATTTATTTTGCAGTTGATAAAAATTAAACAAATTTATAAAAACTACAAATACATTTAATACAACTAGCTATGGCTAAATTAATAACATAATAGCCTAACCTATCGTTGCCCTAGTGTTACCTAAAACAACTGATGGTCATGTCCTCGCCTATTTCATTTTGACCAATCTAAGCAAAAAGAATACTAACCTATTGAGAAACTATAGATTAGGAAACTGTACACTAACATTTGTACAGAAAAAATTTAGATAGAAGATTAATAGTGGATAAATATCTGTATCCACTAATATTAAAACTAATTTTTAGAACAAGAAATTACATGAAACCCTATGCACTACTCCAATTAGTTTTTGGATAATGTCTGTTTTGATTTCTAGACTGTATACAGTCCAAACATCTACTTATACCATGGACTCTAGTTCCTAATCCTTTTACAGTATTAGTCAGATTAGCTAATCCCTTAAACATATTGTCTAATGTTTTTAATACATTTAGGTTGTTTATTTCTTCTCTCGTTTTTATTTCTTTTTCTTTTCTATCTTTATTATTATTTTCTTTCAAGACTTGATCATGTTTATCAAGACGATTTTTAATTGCAGAAAGTCTTTTTACTATATCTGTCAGAACTTTAGTTACTTCTTCCATTCCTCTACACAACTCTTCAATTTGTGTAATATATAAATCCATTGTTTCTATTACATTTTAATTAAATTCATCAAATTCTTCGTGTTGTTCTTCAATTTTATTCTTTTTCAACATTATTAACTTTCTTCTTAATTACATCAGTAATTATATTTATTCGAAAACCTTTGAAATTATATCGCAACGTTAGATTTTGAAGGTTATCAATTGTGTCGCAACTAGGGTACGGAATTGGTCAGGTTAAACCCGTAAATTTGCAGGCTGAGCTGAGCTTGGATCCAATTCGGGCTTATATTTTTGAGCCCATTATTATGTGAGCTGAGCTTGGGTTGGGTTTAATAAATATTGAGCCAGATTTGAACTTTGTAAATATATCCAATGAACCCAATGGACCTAATAATATCCTTTAGTAGATGTTACATAATTTGTACGATGAACACTAACCTTATATGAATAAGTGCATGTAACACACGATTCAAGATACTATATAAGGTGACAACTTAAGGAATCTTTGTTGAATACTTCATTATTCTCGCTTATAACTTCAAGTACTTCGTTATTTTACTTATGACTTCAAGTACTTTGTTATTTTCACTTATAACTCCAAGTGCATTAAAATATTAGTACCAGTAGAGAGCCACAGTACAGAACATTTAATCTGTGAAATGAACTTTGGTATATGATAATTGTTCTACTAAAGAATTATAATCCTGATTAAACTTATTAGACCATCATAAACCCTCACCTATTATAACTAGAAACGCAAAGTATCTATTCTTCTATTAGTGAAAATGAAAGTCCTGAAATTAATGAAAGTTCTGAAGTAATTACTGTTAATAAAAATTTCAAAATAATCACTACAGATGAAAATCTTGAAATAATTAATGAAAATTCTGAAATAACCACTGTTAATAAAAAATGGAAAAGAAACAAGTCACAATCATGGATTTTTAAAGAAGGTCCCTTTATTCAACATGATCCTCAAAATGGTAAATATAATTTTTTATTCCAATCACTTGGAACTTTGAATTTTAGCTACCATAAATCTACCAAAAAAAAAAAATTAAAAAATTAAAAAAATAAATTAAAACAAATGTTGAAGTTTAATCAAAAAAAAATTCGTGATATTGAATTAAATTTTCTCACCCTAAAGTCCTAAAGTTTGTTATCAATTTATTATATTATAATTATTAATATTTTAAACTAATTAATATTTATATCATATAATTTGTTAGAAAATTATTTTCAATGCATACACTGTAAAAGTATTTTAAAGTATTATAACACAACAGGAACTAGTGCCTTAATTCGTCACATAAAAAATACAAAATGTAAAAAATATTTGAAAGTTGATGAATCACAACAAATATTACAATTATCCACATTAGGCCTTGTTACTTATAAGTTTTTCCAGAAAAGAAGTTGTCAAGATTTATCAAAAATGATTATTATACATACATATCCATTTCGTATGGCTGAACATGAGGGATTCCTAACATTTGTTAATAATTTACAGCCACAGATTAAAGTGATGAGTGCGAAGACGACATGTGAAGATTGTAAAGATATTATAAAAGATCTTAAGGTAAAAGTCCATATGATGATACAAGAGACTCCTGGAAATCTAAACTATATGACTGATTTGTGGACATCAAATTAGAATCTTGGATATATAGTTGTTACATGTCATTTTATTGATAAAGATTGGAAACTTCAAAAATTAGCTTTAGCATTCAAAATGGTTCCAGCTATACTTGCACGCAAAATTATTTTGGAGTCCCGAAATTACAATTTCAGGGAAAAAAGTCAAAATAGTTTTTTATAGAAAACAAAATTATTTTACTTAAAACTTGAAATTTTTTGACTATCTAGATTTATTCTTTAATTAAAAATACATATAACTAGGTACTTTTTTTACTTCCATATATAGAATAGATTCTGCATAAATCTCAAAAAGTCGAAATACCTCAAAAATTCAAAATCAATTTTGGGAACATGTATAGTTCCGGCACCACATATAGAAATTGCCATTAGTGAAATGCTTTTTAAAACTTTTAATAATTGAAATATTACATCAAGAATATTAACTATTACTATTGATAATGCAACTAGTAATGATGTCGCAGTAAATAATATAAAACACAAACTAGATGATCAAAATATGCTTGTTGCCAATGGAAGTTTATTACATCAATGTTGCTGTCACTGGTCGAAATTTGATATATCAGGCACCTATCACACACTTATCAGGTACCCGATAGGTATGTGATAAGTGTCTGATATTTATAAATCGGGTACCTGATTAGAACAGTTTTTTTGTACAGTTTCGGGTATACATCAGTCATATAGCAGGCATATATTGGGTATGTATTTTTAGATAATTTTGGTATTTTTTTTCAAATTTATCATTCACTTATCAGGTACTCAATTTTTATTTATGTTATATTGGGTACCTATAGTTCACAAATCGGTAATAAATCGGACATAGTATATCCATGAGATATCAGGTACTTTTTACTAATATCGGGTACCTATCAGTTTCCATTGTTTATCTGTATATATATATTTTTTCACTTTTCATAATTC